AGTAGGGTGTGAATTGATTACCTACAATTTAGCTTATTCATGTGAAACATTCGGAAGCATGTACATCTCAAGTTTAGATTGCACTTTATTCAGGTGCTGGGGCAGGTGACCTCCATACACGGGTTGTCGACTTTATTTTAACCAAGACAAACTATTTATTGGTGTAATTGGTTGAACTTTTAAAAAAAAAATGGTTTGCCTTCACCTCAAATGTCGACAATTTATATAAATTGACTTAATAATAGTCATATCATAATGTGTTTTGTAAGTGCATAAATATACAAAGCAACTATAATAAAAGTATACAATTTCACAATTATTAGCGTTATTATATAGAGACACGCACATATTGTTTCGTGATGTTTAAGTTGCTTTGACTGATTTATTTTGATTCAATTCAACGTAGATCTAATTAATTTTCTTTTTTTTAAATAAAAACTGATGGAGAATTAAAAGTACATTTCGCATATTTACGTCCCTTTCCATTCTCTATAGCAGCTTTCACTCAGACGCTCTTTAACGTTCGCGCTTAAAAAAACGCTTATAATAGTAAACTCCGCCTTACTCCAGGAAAGGGATGTCCGATAGCCTCCACCTAGTGTGAGCCGAAGAAGAAATTTCCAGAAAAACGTGATTTGCTCTTTCTTAATATAGCAATGGAAGAAATGCTTCAGTGTTATAATAAGGGATGTGGATCGAAGTATGATCCATCGAAAAATGAATCTGGTGAGGCATTATTTTCTAGACGTAGCAGATTTATTGAAAATTATTCTGAATTCCGATAAAGACTAAAGTGTCAGCTCGGCCTTAAACCAACTCGGCACGGGTCAACTTGGCACGAAATCAATCGGCCCTAAAATAACACTGCACGGGCCAACTTGACAAGAATTAACTCTACCCACTGTTTAAAAGCTATAAGCAATGGGAAAGATACAAGGAATGGGGTAGATAATGTCAGAAAGAGGTCACTTGGGGACAAAAGGAATAAAAACTGAGCAAACTGAGTGTGCCCAGTTATTTAACTATGATCGGCATCGATAAATGCAACGTTACGGAATACAGCTCACGGTACTTTTAGACAAATAAATTCTTCACGCTTGACAATATCGCTCATTTTATGCAATTTTATTTGGTACTGAAAATTTCAAAACAATACCGCTAATTGTGGATTTTCTTCACATTTTTTAAATTTTGTGAAATTTTAACATGTTTTGGCGTTTGTGAAAAGGGCGATATTCAGGGTCAATATCAAGGAAAATAAGTCACTGCTGTGTAAACTATATTACTCGCCTGTGAAGTGTACACGGTAGATAAACATTTGGGACTTGTTTTGTTTCATTTTTTATTTAAATTAATGATTAGAATTATTAATTATCAATAAAATTTTAACTTGCCTGATTGGGCTTACTCAGTTACTGGTTATAATTTTTGTCACACACTTTTGGAACAGCCCTCATAAAACTGAATCTGCAGTTACATCTCCAAATACCTTACAGTAACAGTAGTAAACAAAACACTACATGAAGTAAATATTCTTCATTAAGTGCTGTAACTTGGAACCACAGGGGGCCCACACAGTGTTTGGATGGTATATACTGCTTGATAGTGACCTTAAAATGAGATTTTAGTCATAACCTTATAATATGTATATAAATATAGACAAGGGGCATTACTCGATAAATAGAGAATTTTCGATCACCCTCAAATTCATGCGAGATTTTCCACTAATTAAATAAAAAAAATCCAAAAACTTTACTGCGTTGCATAGCTTATATAATCCACAATTGATAAACACTAACTCTTTTCTGATTCCCTTAGCCCATTTAAAGAAATTTATTTAAAACCGTTCACTTCTGTCACAAAATTGCTTAGTAGTACGAGAATGTCGCAACAACAAATTCACGGGTAAAATATATCAATTTTAAAAGGGGTAGGTACAAAATAAACGCATGCAAACAATAACACAACATAGTTTCTATTAACCTACCTGCGCAAATAATCGTGAAGCGCTCTATATTCGTCTGTTTCGAACGAAATCTTCAAATCAGTGCAGAAATCTGCTGCGGCGAATACATGTTGGAAATTCTGGTCACGGTGTATGGAAACCTTTCATTGGTTGTCGTTATAAACAAAGTTCCTACTGAACCAATGAAAGGTCTCGATACACCGGCTGGTAACGTGACCAGGGTTTCCCCTAGCTGTCTACGTCGAAGCAGATTTCTGCTCTGATTTGAAGATTTCGTTCGAAACAGACGAATATAGAACGCTTCACGACTATTTGCGCAGGTAGGTAATAGAAACTATGTTGTGTTATTGTTTGCATGCGTTTATTTGTACCTACCCCTTTTAAAATTGATATTTTACCGGTGGAATTTGGTGTTGCGACATCTCGTACGACTAAGCAATTTTGTGACAGAAGTGAACGGTTTTGAATAAATTTCTTTAAATGGGCTAAGGGAATCAGAAAAGATTTAGTGTTTATCAATTGTGGATTATATAAGCTATGCAACGCAGTAAAGTTTTTGGATTTTTTTTATTTAATTAGTGGAAAATCTCGCATGAATTTGAGGGTGATCGAAAATTCTCTATTTAGCGAGTAATGCCCCTTGTCTATATTTATATACATATTATAAGGTTATGACTAAAATCTCATTTTAAGGTCACTATCAAGCAGTATATACCATCCAAACACTGTGTGGGCCCCCTGTGCTTGGAACTTAGCCAACTACTTTCAAGTAATTTCATTGGCTGAAAATGTAGAAGTTATATGTAAATATATGAATATATTATATAGAGCATATGTTTATGCCCCCGCCATGTAATGGCCGGGGCATATAGTGTTACCCTGTTCCGTCATTCCGTCATCATCAGTTTCCGTTCATTATCTTAGTAACGGTTGCACACATTCAACTCAAATTTAACATATGGATATGTCATGAGAAAATACATGTCAAGTTTGAATTTGGTCATGGTTCGATGATTTTTGGCAGAGTTATGTCCCTTTCACTTTGAAAATAATATGAAATTTTCAGTTTCTGTTTATTATCTCCCCAACGGTACAACACATTCAACTCAAATTTGACATATGGATATGTTTTTGGAATGCCCAGGCCAAGTTCGAATTTGGTCATGGTTCAATGATTTTTGGCCGAGTAATGCCCCTTTCACTTTGAAAATAATATTATTAAATTTACACTTTCTGTTCATTATCTACCCAACAGTGTTACATATTCAACTCAAATTTGACATATGGATATGTCAAAGGAATGGGTAGGTCAAGTTGGAATTTGGTCATGGTTTGATGATTTTTTTGGCAGAGTTATGTCCCTTTCACTTTGAAAATAATATAGATACATCTTAGGAATAAGCAGTTTATGTTTGAATTTGGTCGTGGTTCAATGATTTTGGACAAACTTATCTTTCTTGAATGTTGGAAAAATTTTGAACTTTCAGTTTCAGCACTCATACTTTTGTGGAAATGTATGTAGCCATTATGAAATATGCTATTTTCAAAAGGTTAAGGCTGAATAATTTCAGTGCCTTGAACATTGTATGAAAATGGTTTGTGTTAACATTGAAAAGTTTTAAGGGCTTTGAACTTAAAATGAAAAAAATAATTTGTACAAACAAATTTGGAACTAAATATTATAACATCTGAAATGTTTGCTGCATGCGGGGGCATCCGTGGCATGATGACACATTTCTAGTTATTTTTATTTTTCAGGTTCTTGCCATTATCATCCTGGTGTACCTGTGTTCCATGATGCATTAAAGGGTTGGTCTTGCTGTAAGAAAAGAAGTACAGATTTTACAGAATTTCTCAACTTTCCTGTTAGTTAGATACATGTATTTATTTCATGGTATCAAAACTAAGCTTTAATTGATAAAATCTTTAAATTATGCTTTATAGGTTCAATAATACTGAATAAGTAAGGGACCATATTTGAGTGTTAGCTTCTACTATAAATATATTTAATACAAATAAATTTGATTTAAATATTTTTTAGGCCAGCCATTTACACTCTTAAAGAAAATAAGATTTATTGTTTGGAATGATTAGAAAATAATGAGTTTTCATTTCTATTGATGTTTCTATCGTATACGGTTGTATGTTTCTATCGTATACGGTTGTATGTTCCTATTGTATACGGTTGTATGTTTCTATTGTATATGGTTGTGTGTTTCTTTTGTATATGGTTGTGTGTTTCTTTTGTATACATTTGTATGTATCTATTGTATATGGTTGTATGTTTCTATTGTATATGGTTGTGTGTTTCTTTTGTATATGGTTGTGTGTTTCTTTTGTATACATTTGTATGTATCTATTGTATATGGTTGTATGTTTCTATTGTATATGGTTGTGTGTTTCTTTTGTATATGGTTGTGTGTTTCTTTTGTATACATTTGTATGTATCTATTGTATATGGTTGTATGTTTCTATTGTATATGGTTGTGTGTTTCTTTTGTATATGGTTGTGTGTTTCTTTTGTATACATTTGTATGTATCTATTGTATATGGTTGTATGTTCCTATTGTATATGGTTGTGTGTTTCTTTTGTATATGGTTGTGTGTTTCTTTTGTATACATTTGTATGTATCGATTGTATATGGTTGTATGTTCCTATTGTATATGGTTGTGTGTTTCTTTTGTATATGGTTGTGTGTTTCTTTTGTATATGGTTGTATGATTCTTTTGTATACAGTTGTACATTTCTATTATATAGGGTTGTACATCTGGTCAGCACAGCAATGAGAAACCTAAGGAGCCAGAAAAACCTAAACCAGCTGTAGATATACCAGATACACCTGTAGAGGTAAATTATTCTTGAAGATTTTACATATGTGAGGCGACTTGTTAAAATATCTACATTGTATGATTCTAGAGTAGACATTTACATGTGAAACCACATATCAATCACTAATGTTCTGTTAAAAAAATTACTTCATTGACATGAAACTGATAAAGTAATAATCAGTGTATGCCCATTAAATTTAGGAGTTGAAAGTTAAAAGTTGAAAGCCATTTAATCTTCAAAGGAAAAGTTTTTGAAGCTCAACAGGCTGTGGCCATAAGGAATATGTTGAACAATTCAACCTTTTACCCCATGAGAACAGGGTTCTCGGGGACGCTTATTTCGGCGTCCCGGTACGCATGTTTATTACAGCTGGACGCAAATATTTCAGAGCAAGGATTCCACGTATGCTTAATTTTGCCTGGGGACGCATAAACATTACCGATTGTTTACAACCACAAATACACAAATGCGTCAGCGCGTGTCAGTCTATAGGTAGGCGGTCCTATGCACATCGACCCGTGAAGCGATTAGCCAATCAGCGATAACGCTTACGATCATTATCACGCAATAGTGATCAGACTAATGTATACACGCGCTGTACAGTACATATAACACGAGGTGATAATTTTATATCTTTGATCAACAGTTGATTGGAAATTAGCAAATTTTACCGACAAAAGGATAAAATTATCGACTATTTACGCCGCAAGTTTAAAGACTGTTTTCTCAAATTACAAATGAGTGTAATTTTGAATGATTGTCGAATATTTTCGGCATTTTTAGGCACAATTTTGCTTTAGTTTCATTCTTGCAAAAACTTTCGATAAGACTATAAAGAATTTAAGATATTGTGCTAACAAACCAAAATACACATACGCTTTTCTTTGATATTTAGATTCTATCCGAAAATTGATCCCGAACATCGGCGATTTCACGTTCGCCAGAAACCCTAAAATTTCGCAAAAATTCTCGGTTTCCAAGCCAAACATGCGAATGAATTGTTCCTTTATTATTTAATCAACATTAAATCTTTAAATATCGATCTTCAATTTGCCCCCTTTTGAAGATATTTGCTAAAATAATTGTCAATCGGATGAATCTCTTACACTATTTGAAGCTGTGCACGATTTTCCTATTCATTCCGCTAAATGCTGCCTATATACATTTACGTTTTTTTACAAATATAAACTTTTTGTTTTTAGAGCGGACTTATTTAACCAGAATAAAATTTGATTTGGTATAAAAGTGAAAAAAAAAACGATTTCCATGTGTTGATGCATTATAATGAAATAATTTCATAATAAATATCAACAACAAAACAATAATTATACTACATGTATGTAGTTCAGAGTTTCTTTTGAATAACTATAAACTTTGGAAGTCTCTTGAAGATTCAAAATATCAGCAATGCTATTGTGAGCATTGAATGACTAATCTGTAAACATATTAATTGCGACGCGCTTTTGGACTCCAACTTTTTCAGGGTTGGGAGTCCATGGACTCCATGTTTTAAAGTCCTAGTGAGAACCCTGGAGAATATTGTGTTTTCATTGAAAAGCCTCCTGTTACAAGTTCAAACTGCTATGAAAAATGCTTCAATACTGATGAAACTTGGCACAAATGTTGACTAGACCATAGCCTCTGTAACAGCATGCTCAATCGTAAATTTCCTGTTACCTGCATGGCAATGGGGGGACGTCTCAAAATTGCCAGAAATCACTATTTTGCATTGTTTTTTTTTCCATCAAAACTGATTTCAAAGTGCTGCAACCTCTCAATGAATTGAGATAGAGTATCAGGTTTTTCAGCGTCAATTACTAGTCACCCTTAGATCGACCTGAGGCCATTTTTAGCTTGTCACATGTCCAAAATTTTCTTGGTAAAGGTTAATAATCAGTAGGTTTCTTTATGATTTTTGGAACAGAAATGAGTTTTATGTTCACTAATACAGGTAGAAGAAAAGCCTAAGCCTGAAATGATGAAACAGAAATTTGAAGAAAGTGAGCGACCCTCTGAAGATGAACCATTACAAAGGTTAAAGGTCACAGTAACACCTTCATTACAGAAAGCACTGGATAAATGCCTGCAAGAAATGTCTATACAATGTGATAAAGATAAAGGTAACTTGGCTTTTCAGTCACGTTCTGTTGAACAGTTTTGAGACTTTTACTAAATTTCTTGTTACTACACACTGATGTTTGTTGGTTGATCTGTGACTGTCGATTTTTGTTTTTTCAACAATTTGTCAATATAAAAGTAGTCTGAATTTCTTATTAGAGATTGATCAGAAATCTAAACCTTTTGTTTTATAGAATTTCTGAAGATTTTTTTTTTTGATTTTGTTCAGTATTTTGAAGCTTTTGATTGAAATACATGAATGAAAATAATACATGAATTTAACTTTTGGTTAACTATAAAAGTAAATGTTTTCTTGACTTAAATTGAAATGAAATTATTTTCTATCCTTGTGTTTACTGTATAAATATTGAAAGTACTTACAAGTTAGATAGGTTTATAACAACATAAAATGAACAAATAACTAGACTACAACTTGCTTGTCATAATATAATAATTTGTAGGTCAACTTTATTTGTAAAACATCATACAGAAAAAGTTTCAAAAAAGAGTTGAAGACTAGTGTCCAGTTCTTTTCCTTTTTTTTTTGAGAGTGGGGGGGGATTAATTATGATTTCATTGCTCAATATACTCTCTGTATAGTAAAGAGTAACTACATTATACTGGACATGAATTTGTTGTTTATTTTTAGATATGGCAAATGGAGAGAATGAAATAAAAGTTGGAACAACATGTAAAAACAACAGCTGTAAAGCAGTAAGTTATACTAAAAGTTCTTTCCATGTTGTAATCATAATTGCTGGATACTAACGGAAAGTTTGATTTAAATTAGGACTGTAAATTGTGACTTTGTTGACAAAGATAACGAAAAGCATTTTTTGTGAATTTCTGGAATCCCACAGGGGAAATTAAACATTTTCATGTTAAAAAAAACTACCCTTAGTAGTGGTGTTATTTGAAAGGTCTTAGCTGAAATATTACAGAGTGGAAGTGAACACTTCCTCCTGCACGAAATGTGGTGTGGTCACATATGACTTAAACAATATAATAAATGTGAAATAATGTAAACAATCCAATAAATGAATAAATGTGAAATAATGTAAACCGTCTGTTATACATCTTACAATTATCATAGTATCATGTGACAGTTTTATCCAAGACAACATTGGGATATTTACTACTGGTAATTAAACTTATACCATACTTTTTGGAGACTGAGAAAAAATATTATACTAGATCTATATCCTTGTATAGATTAGCTAAGAAGTATTAGCATGTTGACAAAATTTAAAACTGCTATATAATAAATAAATGATTTATGTGTGACAATTTCAGACATACCAATCTGAAGAGAGTAATAAAGAAACATGTCAATATCATCCTGGTGTGGCTATATTCCATGAAGGGTAAGCTAAACAAAATTATTATCATCATCATTAGTTAAGTTTTATTTATACATGTAGTTAAGACAAATGTGAGGAAGCTTCTGGTAAAAAAGGCTGTTACTCACACTTGTGTAAAACAGACTTTTTCTCTCTAATACATGTATTGCGAATTATATGTTTGGCACTGTGTAAGTATAGAATGACACATATGATTTAATGAAAAGATAATGAACATCAGTGGCTTCACTTTTTAACAAGAAGCCAAGTGGAGATGTGACCTATTTAAAAAGAAGTCTGCCTCTTAGCATTCTGTGGTTTTCAGCCCCACTAGGTTCCTAACCAAGTTTCCTAAAACCAAGACTGCATAGTCTAGTTCAAACAAGCACACTATTTGGCTAAAATAGATTATCAAAATTCATAATTATCTGCAAAGGTAATTAAACTTAGTTTAACCGTTTACAATCATTTGATATCAGAATGAGTTTTATGTTGTGATGTTTGTTTACTGTAAAAAAAAATATGGCTCATTTCAGAATGAAATTTTGGTCTTGCTGTCAAAGAAAAACTTCAGATTTTACAAATTTTCTTGATCAAGCAGGCTGTCAAAATGGTTCACATTTATGGATAAAGAAAGAGGTAAAGTATTTACATGAATACAATCAACATGTGTGCTTTATGTACTTTATTCTCTTAAGTTGTACATGATCTGTACAATAGATTGCATATTCTAGATACATGTTCAAACATACATTTAGACCCCATCTGATAAGTTCAATATAGATTTTTGATTGTTTAAATCCTGGTTTTATCCTTTATCTGAAATAATGCATGGGAGAGCACCTCATCACTTTAGTGCAGTCCTAGATTTAATAGGGGTTAACCAGTTATTTCACTAAGGTGACAACCTGTCTTTCTCCTTCAGTAAAACAGTTAAATGCCATATTACATCAGTCTGTTTAACTTCTTACTAATGAAATATACTTTTGTAATGTATACCTGTTATGTCATGGCACCAACTGTATTTCTACTGTTATATATATTCTTAACCATTACAGACTGAAGACACAAAGAAGAACTGTCGACAGGATTGGTTCCAGACCGGTCCTAATGTTAATATATCAGTGTTTGCTAAAGTTGCTGTACCAGAAAAAACTTACATAGAAGTAAATCAAGTTGTCTGCAACATTCATATAGTGTTTGAAGGAGGAAAAAGTGTTTATGAAAACAAATTGATTTTACGGAATGTAAGTAATATAATCTAATAATAAATTGTTATTTAGTTTTCAGCATTGTTTTAAGTCTGAAAATTATAATAAAAAGGTAATTTATGGTTTTCTGAAATTCAGTTTAAAAAAAATTCTAGTTGAATGAGATAACTGAATGTGACGATCGTTCATATTGGCAGATTGAGGTAGAGATAGGGCAGTGCACCCTAAACACTGCTAATTAATGCCAATTAAGCCCAAAAATGTTATTATTTTCAGTTCTCAAATTGGTGCTTATAGTTAAAAAATCTTTTACCCTTTGGTCATTCATAAAGTTACAATGATTTAGTATAGAAAAAGTTCTATCTTATGAATGTTCTTTATCTGATATTAAAACATTATAAAACATGTGTATGTCTTTTCTTCAAAGGAAGAATTGATTTCATTTCTGAGTCTTATTGTGCTTTAAAAAATCGACTTTGATTCATTATAAGATTAATATGGGATAAGTTGTGTCACATAACTAAATAGCATTAATGAATTATGTTTTGTATCTTCTTTTTCAGCCTATTGATCCAGAAAAAAGTGAAGTGAAACTTTTAGGAACTAAAGTTGAGATAATTCTACGTAAACAGGAATCATTTAGCTGGCCATGTTTAGAAATGCCTGTAACATCTCCACCCCAACAAGAAGATAAAGACTCTGATTCTGATGTTATAGATAGTGATTGATGATAGAATATATATATATATATAGACAACGAATGGTAAGATTGATGTGAAGATGATGATTGAGTGATGAATCTGATTGATGTAGTGATGATACAAATGGAAGATTTCAACTTTGTACACAGCAGCATTCTTTTCTTGTTGAACAAGCACATAGCTCAAGAGTGCTCACTGAATCATTTTAAGATGTCATTGGTCATCAGATGTAATAATGTCAGTAGACCTCATGACATTGTGTTAATGAGTTTTACTTCAATTTATTTTCTTTAATTTTCTGCATGTAATAGAAACACATGACTTTTTAGCGTGTTATAGTCTAGATATTGCACAATTTGGCATTTAAACGGTTCAGAACTACAGCTATCACTTTAGATCTGAATGATTAATGGAAACATAATATGATAACTCTCTCAAAATTAAACTTTATATGATAACTCTCTCAAAATTAAACATTATATGATAACTCTCTCAAAATTAAACATGATAACTTTCAAAATTAAACATTATATGATAACTCTCAAAATTAAACATTAAATGATAACTCAAAATAAACATTATATCATAACTCTCTCAAAATTAAACATTATATGATAACTCTTTCAAAATTAAGCATTATATGATAACTCTCAAAAATAAAATTATAAGATAACTCTCTCAAAATTAAACATTATATGACAACTCTCTCAAAATTAAACATTACCAGTATATGATAACTCTCTCAAAATTAAACATCATATGATAACTCCATGAAAATTAAACATTATATGATAACTCTCTCAAAATTAAACATTATATGATAACTCTCTCAAAATTAAACATTATATGATAACTCTCAAAATTAAACATTATATAATAACTCTCAAAATTAAACATTATATGACATCTCTCACAAAGTTAAACATTATATGATAACTCTCTCAAAGTTAAACATTATATGACATCTCTCACAAAGTTAAACATTATATGATAACTCTCTCAAAATTAAACATTTAGATTATTTTCTAAATCTGTGTGTAATATGTGTTCAGAATAAGATGTGTTGGTTGTATTTATTTGAAACTAAGTATTATGTATCATTTGTGTTACAATGTGTGGATGTCAGTTATTGAAGAATCTGAATATAAGTGAGGAGGAACTTTAACTCTGGCTAGCATTTAAGTAATGTCTACATTTACAATGTCATCTTTTTCTAAAAGAATTATCTCCCTTAAACAACATTGTCAGTGTTGTAAAAATACAGTAAACTCTGCTTATAACAGTATTCAGGGGCCCCACCAAATTTATATTGTTACATGTACATCCGAGATGCAACCAATTTGAAAACAAGATTCAAGACTGCAGCAACAGCGTGGTTACAAGGGGTATATCCCTGTAAATGATATCATTATTCATAATTAGTGGAGTTTACTGTATTTACAATTGTTACTTTCTGATGAGAAGTAGTCAGTGTTTAACATATAATGTAAATATTAAGATGGCAATATATGTTCAGTTTTGAAGCTTTGTACTTTTTTGTCAGATTTTTTCTTATTTATTTTTAAAAACAGTATTTGTAAGAAAAAAAGTTTCCTCTTTGATTGTTTATGGATGAAAAGAATCTGTTAGTGAACAATTTTAAAATGTATAAAGCTTGAAGTAAACAAAAATTATGTTTTATTTTGATAAAGAATAATTTCAAAATGCCTGTATAAAAGAAATATGCCTATATTTTTCCTTTCCAGCAAATGATGCATGCACAAAATGCATGCTCAGCAAATAAAAACCTACTTAAAAAAAGAAGCATAATATTTTGCCTGGAACATTTTATTCTGTTTACACAAAGTTTTCATGTGTATCAGATAACAGAGAAACTGATGTTCTATATTTTATGAACATTGACCTTGTGATTATGGATTGCTATGAATATAATAAATATATAAAGCTTTATAATCATGAAATAATGATGAAAAACAACAAAATGGAATGGTATAATTTCTAGATTAATGTTGCCAGTAACCGCTTCAGTGACTGGTAACAATTGATTTTTGTTACTTTTTGTTCATAAAATAAAGGCCATTTAACTTAGTATATGTAATTTGAGTAGTCTCTTAACCACAAATTTACAATAGAAAAAATTTAAGAGTCAGTATGACCTCCCAATTTGTGCAACAAATAAATAATTGCAATTTTTGGTGGAAATTACTTAATTTCTGTTATTTATTGTACTGTGCCATGTACTTAAACATTGTATAATGATTGTTTTCCTAATTCCCGGAATGTTAGATATTTAGTGACTGCATGCTCCATGTTCATCATACACAATATGTTTATCTTTTCTATGTATAATTTGCCAATAAAATGAAAAAAATATCTATATTGTATTTGTAAACTTATTTATAATAATTGTTTGATAATGATGATAAAATTCAAGCAGTCCTAGAATAAGTAAACCTGTTTGTTAGAACAGATTTCATTAATCAGCATTGCCCTAAATGACCTTGACCTTCCGTGGTCAAATTTTCAAAATTCTCCTGATTTTCTTTTTATTATTTAAGTAAGTTATTTATGGATTTAGTAATATATTCAGTTGCTATGGTTTTTCATCACACACTATAAAGAGGTGAGGGAGACTATATATGTCTCTTGCTGCTTCATTTCAGGGATCAAAATGAATGCTCTCTCATAAGCTAGCTGGATTGTTTCATATTAAGAAAATAGTTCTCGTACATCAGAACACATCAGTCGGGGAACAATAATTCTTACTTGGAGATTTCTTACATTCTTCTAATACCATAGGGAAAAACAACTAATAATAGGTTAAAGATCTCTTCAAATCCAATAGATCAAGATTTATACAGGTAAAACTTTTTAACTCCAAACCTTGAAAAAGAAATAGACAATAATGAACAAGAAAGAAAATTCTATAGAAATTTTATTATGAACAATATAAAGCAATAAAGAAATCAGGCTTGTGTATATGAATAATAATATAGAATGACAAAATATATATATTGTACTGCATACAAGGCACTTTAATATATTAACAAGAGTATTTCACAGAATCATGGTACAAACATGTATATATATATGCCTATGTATTTAATTTTTTGGCCTTAGTAAAGCACCGGTGTATAGATACATAGAATATAACACGGCAACAAAATCAAAGCTCTGTCTCTCCAATAATCAGGCCAGCTGATGATTTATTCGTTGTTAAAAAAAATTTCTTGACAATTTTACCTGAATAAGATCAATTCCTTATAGCGACAAAATTTCAAAATGATTAAATTTCTTCATGATATTTGTGAGCATTATAAAATAAAATCAGGATATCTCAATGAAGAAATAATACAAGATTATACAAGAAAATGATATGTAGGTTGTTCAATGTACAAGTATTAGTAGTGTTTGGAAATTATGTAAATAATGATAGGAACTTAGTAATATATTTGATAATTGCACACTCTATTCACTATTCTACAAGAGAGCAAGTTTTGCAGTAAAAAAAAGTAAAAAACAACAATGTTTATATTCAAGAGTGGAAGCCCCTATAATATATATGCATAAGAAATCCAGAAATAACTACATCAAACACTTTGACAACATACAGGTAGCTTACAAAACTGATATATATGTAATGTTATATAATAAATAGAGAGGAAAGACCAGCTTCCTCTAAACATTGAAATAATTACAAACACAATGTGACTGATCTATATTTACCCAAATCAAACATACCTGATTTGTCAATTCTTAGAAAAAATACTTATCAAATCTTCTAAAATTGTAGAAAGTAAATTGCAAGAATAATATTGGTTGTTATTCTTTTCCAGTTAAATCAACCCAATGAAAATAGAAAAAAATATGAATATGCAAAATATCCTATCATTTTATTATGCATTTTTTATTATATTGCACTTCTGACAGCTTCTTATAGAAAATCTAGCTAGATTCTAAATAATTCAACAAGTTTTGATTTACAAGTTCTTGATAATGTTATACATGTAATATGTAATTACGCCAAGCAAATGTTTATCCTTAATTGAATGGAATTAAATAAAGGTGACGTTTTACTTTTTTGTTTGTTTGAGTTTTACATAACACCAACACAGCATAGGTCATATGACAACTTGCTAGCTTTACTGGTGGAGAAAGACCTCTGTGCATTATGTCGGGCACAAACAACTACCCGAGTAGAACCACCAAAGTCAAAAACCTCAACCAATCAGACATTTAATATCTGGCTTAATTATATTTCTCAAAAACATGTACACATATCTTCAGCATTAAACAAATTGCTTATTATATAACATACCAATTAACAAATACTGTACTCGATTTTGTAACGCAAGGAACAAATTTAAGCTGAACATATACAAATTACAACACTAAATTCCTCGGTTAATTTCTGTGACTAGAAAGAGAATCACCCAACGATTTAACTACATGTATGTAAAAATATTTGTTCAAGAAAGGACATTGTTACAAAACAGTGCCTGAAAATATATTAATCTTGTGGCTCCTGAACAATTTGTTTAGACAGATTAAACTTTTGTATATAATAAAACTCAAAAGAAACATGTAATTGACAATACTTCTTTATGTGACTCTGGTTCAAATTTCTCAAATAAGCAAGCAAATAAAAATCTTATTAAAACTAAAGCTTTCATTTATGTAAAGCTAAACAAAATGACAAAACATACATATTTTCTTTGTGTCAGATTTCATGTAATTAAACATATATTGTGTCTCTTTGTTCTATTGTATTATTTCCCAATATACATTCATTTTATTAAAGCTGCATGCCTCCAGATGAGCCAAAATATTTAAAGAAATTCAACTTGAAAACAATGTACTAAACTTTTAGGAAAAGTAAAAAGATTCAAGTAATAACTTACATGTTTTATGCGATTAATTACTAATTTTGCAGTATTTATCACCATATTTCTACTGCATGATATTTTGACCTCCTTTTGGTTCTTTACGCAAACTGTATTGACCTTCATGCAACGTGTAATTTATTTTCATTGTTTACTTCACAATAGTTTACTTTTAAATACAATTTCAAAATTTTCATGAAAAGTACCATGAATCTGAAGACATTCTGCTTTAATGAATATTTCCTTATAATAGTGGCGATTTCTATACTTTTTGTGGAGAAATTTTATATTGAGAAAATTTACAAAAAAAGATATATTAAAATATATAGATTGTCAAAATGTCATGAAAAAAAGTACATATTAACAACATAAAAATAGATAAACAATATGAAGAGTGAGATCTAAAGGGGGAACTATCAATATATTGAGCACTTGTGGAGATAGACAGATATCAGTATAGAATCAGGAACACCTGCACTGTCAAGCAGATGGAACGCACTCTATAGGGGGCAGGGGACCTAAAAATGAAAAATTTTGTATTTCAGTGTGACCAGAAACACAATTCCAAATATTTCAAAATCTGTTTCACAGGCAGATAACCAGTTGCACAGCATTATTCAATGATATATGACATACATTGAAGAAAATAATAGTTTGCATGCATTGCTCCTTCAAAAAATGACTGACAGCAATTTATATTTACCCCCACCCAGCCAAAATCACACCTAAAATATACCAATATAGGCAATCTTCATGAAGGTGCAGCATACTCCAGAATCCGCCCGATTCCTTTAAAAATATCAGTAACACGCAGTGCAAGCCATGGCATTTTCAGAAATGACAAATAAAGTGTCTGTCATACGTTTAGATTTTTCACAAAATTTATCTGAAATTTCTTACTTGTTTGGCGCCAACTGTCAAAGCTTGATTTTTAACTTTTTCACCTCCATTCGGAGAGTCAGAAATACATACAAAGCTACCAAAATGCTTAGTTTCGGGTAAAAACCCAAAAATATATCTCATTTCCTACACACAAACAAGGAAGAATTACAATGACAGAGAAATATCAGAAGTTATCAGTACCTTCAAAACACCATGTCTGAGTTATTAAAAAATTTGACCGGGGCCATCATTCGAATATGTCCCCTGCCCCCTTAAGATTTTTTATGTGACCCGTATTAAAGCGTTTCCTTTTATTTTCTTAAAATATGGAGTATTTCGCATTAAACGTTAACTTCGAAAAGTGAATACTGCGGTTACTTTGTATTTAATCAAATATTTAAAAAAGACCCTATTTCAGGGGAAGTAACTAGTACAATGACCATGCCTGTTATATGATTTACTTAATATCAAGTGCCAGAAACCTGTGAGATGGTTATTTTTCTGTTTTCCACCTTCATTTTAATACCATAAAGTATTTTCAGAGTATTTAAAGTCTTTTGGAAGGATATTATAGCAAGAAAAACAATATTACAGCCACATTTAATGTCCCAAAATGAATTTCACAGGAAACCAGACCCCATTTATTCTGGCATACACCTAAAAATGCAGTAAAGATACCACTGTTGACTTATATGACATTATGTACATTTGTAACAATTAAAAGTGCTCAATTATGCATTATTATGTCAATTTGCACAATATAAAACTGTTAATTCTGGATAAATGTGCACATTTTGTGAAGTACAGTGTTTGCCAAAATTCCAAATTTTTATTACCTCCCTTGACTTGACAGTCTACTTTCTCTACATAACTTGATAAATCCTACCAGTCACTTCAAATTTTGACTAACAAATGTAGAAGGAATGTTTATGGGCACATTTGGGTCAAATCCAACGCATTTTATAAATTTGAAAATTTCCTTAAGGGGGCAGGGGACCTAAAAATGAAAAATTTTGTATTTCAGTGTGACCAGAAACACAATTCCAAATATTTCAAAATCTGTTTCACAGGCAGATAACCAGTTGCACAGCATTATTCAATGATATATGACATACATTGAAGAAAATAATAGTTTGCATGCATTGCTCCTTCAAAAAATGACTGACAGCAATTTATATTTACCCCCACCCAGCCAAAATCACACCTAAAATATACCAATATAGGCAATCTTCATGAAGGTGCAGCATACTCCAGAATCCGCCCGATTCCTTTAAAAATATCAGTAACACGCAGTGCAAGCCATGGCATTTTCAGAAATGACAAATAAAGTGTCTGTCATACGTTTAGATTTTTCACAAAATTTATCTGAAATTTCTTACTTGTTTGGCGCCAACTGTCAAAGCTTGATTTTTAACTTTTTCACCTCCATTCGGAGAGTCAGAAATACATACAAAGCTACCAAAATGCTTAGTTTCGGGTAAAAACCCAAAAATATATCTCATTTCCTACACACAAACAAGGAAGAATTACAATGACAGAGAAATATCAGAAGTTATCAGTACCTTCAAAACACCATGTCTGAGTTATTAAAAAATTTGACCGGGGCCATCATTCGAATATGTCCCCTGCCCCCTATAAGAGTTGGACAAAAGTCACTTTCAAATTCAAAGCTGAAATATCACCCTGGGAAATGTCTAAATTCTAAAACATATATATATAGATATGAGTATTTGTTGTAGATATATTATTATGTCATAATCCAAGAATCATATACAAGTCTCTCTTAACCATAGAACAATTATTAATTGTCTTATCCGTCTTTTAAATCATGGACTTAATAATTACTAGGTATCAAAAAAATCTAATATCATTATAAATATAATTTGTAGAGTATAAACAATAAAAATTATGCATGAACCATTAGGATATTAATATTATTGGTTTACCTTACATTTTCTTTAAACTGTTAGTCTTAAAAGTTGGTAAGTATAACACTTTACAACAAAAGTCACAAATTAATAGATTAGATAAATATGTGGAACTTTTCTTCCATCAGACATGTACATATAACAGAGTATAAAAAATGAAAAAAAATATATATAGGAGATAGTATAAATTGTTAAATTGCAACAAACATTTTTATTTACACTATACCTGATGGAATGGAAAGATAAGTAAAGAGCCAGGCCAGCCTGCACAACAATGGACTCTTGATTAGGGTCTATACTGATTTATATTTGAGCGCTGGCATTAGAAATCAACCCTTAAAGCGAAGTCAAAAGAAATTGTCACTGACGTTTAAAATATAAAAAAGTTATTTCCCTTGACATGTTTAAAGACAAATATGAACAGGTAACAATCAGCAATTTTAGGAGCTTTTTTAATTATTTCAAGAGCTATAAAATTGAATTTTAGAAAAGTAAGCAATGTAAAGGGTTGTTATGTCATGCGGGCGGTCAATTTTATCTTGATATTCCCAAAGTTGATAACGGACAGCTTCAATAAAAGAAGACCCATTTAAGAAATTTAGCAGGTTAGGGCTTAAGTTTGAAATAACATCATATTGTTATGATATAAATTAATATGATCCAATTATATCTTTGGAATGTTCATAAAATAAAAAGTAAAACATGAGTATTTGCTGTACATTATTAAACTGTAGTTTTTTTACACTCTAGTATAAAACTTACAGTAAATAGGATTCTTATTAACTGCCAATTACTCTTCTGTGCTTTCCTGTCATATACTTCATATTTATATTTTAGATATCCATGCAAAATGATTGAGGCCCTATTAAGCATAAATTAAACATGACCATAATTAAAATGTATGATAAAGAAGAGTTTCCATATCTTAATTTTTCATTTTTCAATCTGGCAAGGAATTTGGTTCATATTATAACTTCTGCAAGTATATTTGGCCATATTAACAACTTTATCCATATCTCTTTGAATGACAAAACTCATAAAAACTCTGTGGATGCTAATACACAAAATATAACAGTTTTCATACAATTAAATTGGAATGTTACAGAAACAAATTAGAAGTTTTCCTTGTTGTAGTAGAAAGTTGCCCCTTCTTTAGATGAATGCTGGTTACATGCCTTATGTAAAGTGCTCGATAACACTTTTGGTCCGCAGAAAAACACTCCTATCTTTGTCCTGGAAACAGACGGAATAACAATTAAGCACAAATGCACATCTTTCACAATTACTTACTATAAATACAAGCGGGCAGTCACAAGGTTGAATCCGATGACAGGCAGGTTAATGTTTCAGATATATTTCCCATCTACCTGTTAGGAATATTAAATGTCCCTAACAGTATAATTATAAGTGAGTTGTTTCAAGTACACATAAAACATAAAAGAAATGTCTAGTGGTGGCATGGCTGAGTGGTTAACACGTCAAACTAGTAATCTAATGATTGCTAACCACATGGGTTCAAACCCTGTCAGGGGCAAGTCATTGTTACCTTGAGCAAAAAACTTCACACTCATTGCTCAGTACTGGTTGGTTCCAGGAACGGATTTGAAAGTGTGTCTATATGCTTATAGCTTCCTACACAATCTAACTAAAGTAAATTCTGTATAAACCAAAAGAATTGTCTATAACTGTTTTAATTAAAGCAAATATAATGACTTGCCAAGCCATCAGTTAATTTCTAAGCAAGCTAACACATCAGTAAAGTCTGACTCCTTACTGTTGGCTACTTGTTATTTTTTTTAACATTGTGATCCGTTAAACTTACAAAAAATACTTCATAATCTTAAATACAGAAAAGAATATTAAAGAAATAAATAAATCATGAAAGTTACAGTAAGCTGCTCAAACATCAGATAAAATGGAGAGATACAAAGAAAAATCTAAATTATTCACCCTGGATGATCTTTGGCTATATTTGGCATAATTTGGTCCCAGTTTGGTCTACCATAGTGTGTTTTCTGATACAACCCCGTCACAGGATCGTAAATATCCTCCTCATGTAAAACTATAGCCTTTGCCTGAAATCATACCAAAATATTTATCATAAGCAACAATTTCAAAATGTTAAAATTTTTATATTAGTTATGTAATTAGCAATGAAATGTTTAAGTGATGTAATCATAAGGCCACTTTTTAAATTATACATAATTTGTATGAATTTTTATCTAAAATATCACTAATCATTTTCTAAGGTATAGCTGGATGGACAGACAGACAGACAGATGGGTTGTAAATGTAAGGGAAGAACATAATGCAAACATAATAATACAATGTCTGGCTACAAATTTCTGACTTCAATGCAATATTTATCATGTAAAGTACATGCATTATTACATAAACAGACAGAACTCCCATATCTTTTTAGTGTTTTTTTTAGCAAATCTGAACAAAAAGCCAAACTAACTGGGTTAATATTTTTTGTCATAGATCTGACTTCAAAGAAATGAAATCAAAAACAAAATCCTTTTGGTTCAAATTTTAGATTTCATTTGCAATGGGGCAAGTAAATGTTTAAACATCACCCTCAGTGTCTCGAAACTGTGTCAAGTTTATAGCAATACCAAACATTTGGGCCTTGGAGTAAAACTAATAAAACTGTTTTAAGTATACATGTATTAAAAATAAAGATTCACTTGTTTTACGAGAATATGCTAAAAGTTGTGAAAATCTTTATAGAAAATACCAGATTTCTGTCCCAGCCTCTTGTCAGAAACACAAAATATTTTAGGAAGTCTGTAAAACCAGTTTCCGCCATCTGTTTGTCATAGTATCGTAGTAAGTCATGAAGCCATTCAAAAGCATTGGTGTCTGGACATATCCAGTAAAAATAAACTTTCTTCAACTTAAAGTCTGGGTCAGCTACCTGTTTCTTGTACCTGTAATTTACAGCAGGTGTGAGTAGATAATAAATGATAATACAACATACATGAAATATACCGGTATATAAAATAATGTTAGTAAAAAATAAAAATCTATAAATAGTTTAACTACATGTAAAACATAACATATTATTAAGCCTTCTACTCTAAACGATAATATATCAAGTAAACATTTACCTGGTACTTACTGGCAATATGCCAAAACTGATTTTTAATATTTAAGATATACAGACATAAAATAAAACAATTATTCTCCTTTTAGATATCAAAGAAGACTCAAACAGTCATGCAGAAACTGTGGACTATAGACAGAATCAATGGTATCAAACTCCAGTTAAAGTTATGTCAGATAAAAGAGAAAGTAGTGTCTCTGCATTGGCAAAATATGTCAAAAGTAGAATTATCCTGAGCATTTAGTGGTTAAAACATAAGTTTTGAGTGGTAACTGCACATGCAATGTTCATTAAAGACATTCAATCATTTGATGTTCTCTGCTATGCTTTAAAGCTTAAGTAGAATAATAAATGTATAAGTATGTTACTACTAGTTCCATGATTTATATATTAAATTTTAACTAAAACTGCAATATGTCTGCATAGTCTTCAAGTAAAATACACTATACAGCCCTTCATTAACACGAGAATGTTGTGTTTGGGTGCTTATATTGCAGTTTGTAGTGTAGACCGTTTAGCTTATAGTTAAACGGACGTTGCATCATTTATTTAAGAAATAATATATCCCAAACTGTGATTTTATTGCTCAATAACATCACTGTTTGGAGTTCGGATGTGGGGAAGTATATCATGAGGGCGTAGCCCGAGTGATATAATGATGCGCATCCGAACGACAAACAGTGATGTTATCAAGCAATAAAATCACAGATTTGGATATATTATTTCGATTCTAACACGACATCAACAAATAAATGCTGCAGTCCACAATAATTAGCTAAATAGCGCCTGATTTGTTTCCGTACTTATTGTCAGCGCGTCATATTTTTAGTAGTTACGTCACGGGTATAATGATTACGTCACATATCTAAATATAGAACGTCAAACAGTGATTTTATAGCATAATAATACACACTTTCGGTTCTTCTATGTTCAATAGGGAAAAATGCGGGTCGTGTTAGAATATTTTATAAACGTTTTTTTTTTCTGAAGAAGACTACATGTGGAAAGCAAAGACAAGCTTTATTTTTATTGAACAGATTATATAGTGTAGACTGAAAATAATTCCTTTGTCATTGTGTAAATCAATATGATGATAAACAGCTAGAGCTCACAACTTTTATTTCTGAGCTTATATTTCATATTCTATCATTTTTTATTTTTCCATGTGAAGCCTTTGTGCAGAAATAAAATATTTAGGAAAAAAAAGTCATCTAGCTATATCAAAGATCAGCTAATTATTAGCCTGCTGGAGTGCTGGTGGCAACTGACTTTGACCACAAGTCCAGCGTAGACCAAAATCAGCCAGCACATCCATGCCGATTGATCATGTTCTGCAATGTTTGCTATTCAGCCAGTACTAATATTGAAATTTTCCCTAAAAATGATAAATGAGCCATGTCATGACAAAACCAACATAATGGGTTTGCGACCAGCATGGATCCAGACCAGCCTGCGCATCCGCGCAGTCTGATCAGGATCCATGCTGTTCGCTTACAAACCCTATAACAAGTAGAGAAACTGATAGCGAACAGCATGGATCCTGATCAGACTGCGCGGAAGCGCAGGCTGGTCTGGATCCATGCTGGTCGCAAACCCATTATGTTGGTTTTGTCATGACGCGGCTCAAATGGTTTTGATGGTCCATTAAAAACGCTTAGCGTGGTAAGGATTAAAGATGCTTGCTAAGTGTGAGCAGCTGCTCTCAACAGTGTTTTATTCTAGCTTTAGCTCTTAACAACAATCAGATTTTATTTCTTAGCAATATTTCTATGTGTCATTGATTTTTTCCCTAATATACTAAACAACATAGTCTGACTTGAACTTTAAATTGGTTTTTTTGTTTTGAAGTTAAATCTTAATTAATTTACAAATTCACATAAGAAGTAAATAATTATAAAAATCATTGAAAAAATTACTTTCACGCAAATTAAGCAATAAAGCATAATCCTAAGCTGTATCAAAGATTCTACCTGCTTCAAAAGATTAAAATTAAAATAAAACAAAGAATAAACAATGATTATATGGTAAACTGTTGATGGATGTAGGATCTGGGATAAATTTTGTTGTTTATACTGGTAGTGTAGGAACTAGGAACTTCATAATATTTCATATTTGTCCATTTTCAGTTCTAAGCTATGACTTAGGCTTGTTGTGTTTCATCTTGTGTAAATAAAAGTTTACTTCTTATCTTAGAGTAATCATGTCAAGTTTGGCCGTAATTTGACCTGGATTCTATACCTATAATTAAATGTTCCACATTTTTGGCAAAATGCTTAATTTCGATTAATTGAAACTACTGCAAAACAATGATAGTCATTTAAAAATTGGTGATAACAAGTAGTCATGAAAATAATATTATTATGTTCAGGAATTAAACTAATGTTTCTTTATAGTTTTGAGGTAAATAGTGAGATTTTTACAAAGGAGTGAGTGAATCAGATGACAATAATGAATTTATTTAGGAAAGCTGCTTTAACAGGTAATGAAATAACAATCTTTCATATATGCATAGAATGGAAGTGCATCCCAGACAATACTCTATGTGTTATCAATTAAACATCAACTACTCCATTAAATAAACTTGGATCATTAATTCTCCATTTTCAAATCAACAAAATATTGGGACAAAAATTTCATATCACTATTAAAGAGCTAGTTTTATAATCCACCCAAAAATATTAAAAAAAAAAAACACTTTAATTTAATACAATATAAGAATATATGTAGATACAGTAAGATCTAACATATAGAGTATTGTCTGGGTAGATCATGTAAAAATGCATTTTGTTTGTTATCAACCTACCTGCCAGTCAGGGTATAGCTGTATATGCAGCAAATTAAAACTTTACATCTTAAATAAGATAACTATAGCATAAGAATCAGTAGTTTTAAGTGGTTGTCAAATACCCTTTTAAATAACTTATCAGTGGGTGCCAAATACTTTTTTAAATAACTAATTAACATGGCATGGATCAATCAAATAAAATATAAACAAGCTGATGAATGTATGTATGTTATTAGACTTTAAACAGTTGATAACAATATCAACTGCTCTAAATCCAATATATAAGCATTTTCTTTATTGACTTTCTACCTTTTTTGTTTCAGAAAGATATAAAATTGGTATATAAATTAACAAATGGTTAACAGTGCATAATGTCACAAAAATAAAAGTTTTGAAATGATACATTCATAGTAAGTTAATACAAATCAAGTAATAAAACTTATATACTGTGAACAATGTAACAAAACATTAATGTTATGTGATGTCACAAATATAGTGAAAACAAGTATAACATCCCGGTGTATTAAAATTAGTAAAATCTCAATATGAGCCGCAACATGAAAAAACCAACATAGTGCGTTTGCAACCAGCATAGATCCAGACCAGCCTGCACATCTGCGCAGTCTGATCGAATCCATGCTGTTTGCTATCAGTTTCTCTACTTGTTATAGGGTTTGCAAGCGGACACCATGCTGGTCGCAAATGCACTATGTTGGTTTTGTCATGGTGCGTCTCAGTTATATGTAACAATGACCAATAATAATACAAAGCCAACAAGAACTTACCATATATGTTTTAGAACAGATGCAAAAGGTGTAACACCTATTCCAGCAGCAACAAAAATATCAACTTCATACGAGAAAATATCTTCTGTAGCTGTACCAAATGGTCCATCCACTGCCACACTGTTATATAACATAAATAACATATTGATATATAACAAAAACTCACAATGTTGTTTCTGTCATTTAACATGCTTAATCTTCATAAAAACCTGAGCATTTAGTCCCGTTAGGTAAAGAAATACGATAATTTGAAGCACATCATTCTAACATCTTATTATTCAAATGAGAAAGTAAAATGGAGACGTATATGACAGATGATCTACAAGTGGTCTATATTTAAAGGTGGTCTTAATCAGAAGTATGCAGACTTATTCAAGAGTTATCTTTTCCTTTCCATTTCAAAATTAAATTATATTCCTCTTCCAAGACAAATAAATTAAATAACTGCTTTAAACATTTTCTTTCACAGTGAGTAATATACATGACATTATTGTTGATCATTTTCTTTTATATTTGAATTTTTTAATGGGTTTAATTTCGTTACCAACACAGTAAAAATCATATGGAATCTTTCCAGCTTTACTGGTGCAGGAAAATGTCAGGTGCCCCGCGGTACATTATATTAGACAGAAATTGGCACCTGAGTAGAACCATCGACTTTCTGTAAGCTTCCTAACATGAAAGAATCCAAAGTCCATGGCAAGATTCCAACACACAGCTGCAAGGGGCAAAAGGTTTAAAGTCAAAATCCATAACCACTTGACCCCGGATTCATGTATATTATACTACAACCATATTAGATCTAACAACACACTCTAACAACTGTGTACCTAGGTAGTTTCCAAGTTTCCTTGAACTCAGCTTCATCCACATGACAAGCCTTGGCAAGGTCATTGGTCCAGTTACCTACTCGTCTGATATGTACGGAGAAATAATCGTCATCTGGGGCCTGTAAGTCATGTGACATCAAGTTAAAGTTGTAATTCTAACATACCATATAACATTTGAGCCGGGTCATGACAAAACCAACATAATGGGTTTGTGACCAGCATGGATCCAGACCAGTCTGCACATCTGCGCAGTCTGATCAGGATCCATGCTGTTCGCTTACAAACTCTATTACAAGTAGAGAAACTGATAGCGAACAGCATGGATCCTGATCAGACTGCGCGGATGCGCAGGCTGGTCTAGATCCATGCTCGTTGCAAACCCATTATGTTGGTTTTGTCATGACACAGCTCATTTGTACATTCTATTATCATTTCAAATCAATGGAAGTCTTCATTTTTTCAACTTTGTTTCTTAACAAGAACTGTCGGAGGACAGTAACGCTCGACTATTCGAAAAGTTGTCACAAGGGTTTTTCATTGAGTATGATAATGCTTACCTATATGAATACATAAAATTGTCCGAAAAGGTACAAACCCTTAATTAGTTATGGAGATACCAGCTTACAATCAAAAACTTAACCAGAATTTCTAAGTCGAAAAAGGGGCATAATTATGCAAAAAAGTAAATCAGAGTTATGGAACTTGTGCCAGTCATCTTAGATAATCACAGACAACAAGAGTGTGAAATTTCAATCCATTCCCTTCAGTAGTTATGAAGATAACAGCTTACACGCAAAAACTTAACCAAGAATTTCTAAATCAAAAAAGTTGCATAAATATGCAAAAAAGCAAATCAGAGTTATGGGACTTATGCCATTCATCTTAGATAATTACAGAAAACAAGTGTGTGAAGTTTCAATCCATTCCCTTCAGTAGTTATGGAGATACCAGCTTACACGCAAAAACTTTACCAAGAATTTCTAAGTCGAAAAAGGGGAATAATTATGTAAACAAGAGGGCCATGATGGCCCTAGATCGCTCACCTGACTTATCAAACTCATCCAAACAATTACCTAGACAAGCATTCTGACCAAGTCTCATGACAGGTGAGTCAAAAATATGACCACTACAGTGTTAACAAGGATTATCCATATTTGAGCAGTGCGACCTAGTTTTTTACCCAGGTGACATATATTCAAACTTGACCTAGAAATCATTAAAACAAACTTTCAGACCAATTTCTAGAATACTTGGATCAAACTAGCAACTAGAGTGTTAACAAGATTTTTCTATTTTTAGCTCCGGTGACCTAGTTTCACATGCGATTTCGAACTCATCCAAGCAATTACCTAGACAAGCATCCTGACCAAGTTTGATGATTATTGAGTCGAAAATGTGACCACTAGAATGTTAACAAGGTTTTTCCATATTTGGGCGGTGTGACCTAGTTTTTCATTCAAGATGACCCATGTTGGAACTTGACTTAGAAATCATCAAAACAAACTTTCAGACCAATTAACACAATATTTGGATCACAACAGTAGCCACTAGAGTGTTAACATGATTTTTCTATTTATAGCTCCTGTGACCTAGTTTTTCATCCGAGATGACCCATGTTCAATTTATTCCCAGCAATGACCTAGACAAGTTTCCTGACCAAGTTTGATGACAATTGAGTCAAAATTGTGACCACTAGAGTGTTAACAAGGTTTTTCTATTTTTTAGCTCCTGTGACCTAGTTTTTCATCCGAGATGACCCATGTTCGAACTCATCTGAGCTATCACCTAGACAAGCACTTTGATCAAGTTTGATGATGATTGATGCAAAAATGTGACCGCTAGAGTGTTAACAAGGTTTTTCTATTTTAGCTCCGGTGACCTACTTTTTCATCCGAGATGACCCATGTTCGAACTCATCCGAGCTATCACCTAGACAAACATCCTGATCATGTTTGATGATGATTGAGGCAAAATTGTGACCTCTAGAGTGTTAACATGGTTTTTCTATTTTTAGCTCCGGTGACCTAGTTTTTCATCCGAGATGACCCATGTTTGAACTCATCCGAGCTTTCACCTAGACAAGCATCTTGACCAAGTTTGATGATGACTGATGCAAAAATGTGACTGCTAGAGTGTTAACAAGGTTTTTCTATCTTTAGCTCCAGTGACCTACTTTTTCATCCGAGATGACCCATGTTCGAACTCATCTGAGCTATCACCTAGACAAGCACTTTGATCAAGTTTGATGATGATTGATGCAAAAATGTGACCGCTAGAGTGTTAACAAGGTTTTTTTATTTTTAGCTCCGGTGACCTACTTTTTCATCCGAGATGACCCATGTTCGAACTCATCTGAGCTATCATCTAGACAAACATCCTGATCAAGTTTGATGATGATTGAGGCAAAATTGTGACCTCTAGAGTGTTAACATGGTTTTGTCTATTTTTAGCTCCGGTGACATAGTTTTTCATCCGAGATGACCCATGTTCGAACTCATCCGAGCTATCACCTAGACAAGCATCCTGACCAAGTTTGATGACGATTGATGCAAAAATGTGACCGCTAGAGTGTTAACAAGGTTTTTCTATTTTTAGCTCCAGTGACCTACTTTTTCATCCGAGATGACCCATGTTCGAACTCATCCGAGCTATCAACTAGATAAGCATCCTGACCAAGTTTGATGATGATTGATGCAAAAATGTGACCGCTAGAGTGTTAACAAGGTTTTTCTATTTTTAGCTCCGGTGACCTAGTTTTTCATCCGAGATGACCCATATTCGAACTCATCCGAGCTATCACCTAGACAAACATCCTGACCAAGTTTGATGATGATTGAGGCAAAAATGTGACCTCTAGAGTGTTAACAAGGTTTTTCTATTTTTAGCTCTTGTGACCTAGTTTCTCATCCGAGATGACCCATGTTCGAACTCATCCGAGCTATCAACTAGATAAGCATCCTGACCAAGTTTGATGATGATTGAGGCAAAAATGCGATCGCTAGAGTGTTAACAACTAAATGTGAATGGACGACGGCCGACGGACAATCATCGATCCTAAAAGCTCACCCAGAGCATGCTCAGGTGAGCTAAAAAGCAAATTAGAGTTATGGGACTTTTGCCAATCATCTTAGATAATCACAGACAACAAGAGTGTGAAGTTTCAATCCATTCCCTTCAGTAGTTATGGAGATACAAGCTCAAGCTTACACTCAAAAACTTAACCACAGGGACCCCGACGTCGACAAATGGGTGACTGCATTAGCTTTATTATTCTGCGAACAGTCGAGCTAAAAAGTATGTAATCATTGAGAAATCATAAGCATACAAACTTTCTATCATTCAATAAATTTGAATAAGAAGTTAAAAATTCAAAGTTTTTTATATCTACTAAAAATCATTGTATCGCTAACTGTCACTTACATGTACATTTGTTGATACAACATGCAAAAATAGACAAGAAAACTAACATAATCAAGCATTTTGTTAGAGTTGTACACTTACTGATGTAAGGGTGAATGGATGCCATTCGAGGTAGGATATTTTTGGACAATGTAAGAAGATATATTGACCAGCTCCCATTCTAAACCCTCTCTTCTTCATCTGCAACTCAAATACATTGGACGGATGCTTAACCACCTGGAAAAAAAAACAATTAAATGTAGTTTAAACTATTTTATTTACTTGTAACTTTATTAACTTTAATATTATTCATTTCAATATGAAGTTGGTCATTTATGGACCATGAAAATACATCAGTATTATACTAATCAGATAGGGAAATTATATTTGTAATACCTGATATCTGGGGGAAAAAGATATCTTAAATGATAATAGGCCTCCATGAAAAAGTCACTTGACCCTTTACTGCTACAACAGTACATGTATGTGTTTGAATCTCCTTTGTATGTGTTTGAATCCCCTCATCGACTTTAGATTGGATCACATATGGAAACTACCCAGCTAGCTTATGTAAGGTCTCAAGTCAAGTTCTACTCAGGTGTCGACTTGAAATAATGCATAAAGGGGCACCTGCTGTCTTCCTCCACCTGTAAAACTGGCAAGTCACCATAAAATTTTAACAGTGTCCATTTGATCTAAGACCAGACAAAACAAAAACTTAAATAACTATGTTACAGTGGTTGTAGTAAAATTCAAATTCACACAACATATCTGATAATATTTATCTTACCTTACTTATCACAACTTGCTGCTTTGAACGTATAAATCTTACACCTCTTTCTATAAAATACAGTATTAGTGGACCAATAACCCACTTCCATGTCTGTAATATAAAAGCATATATGTTATTGTATACTTAGATTTCTCAATGTGTTAAGTATCAACAAATCATATACAAGAACTGATAAATTACTTGTAGCAAAACAAAAATGCACTTACTCTTACAATAATGATACAAAATAGAAAATAATTGTTTCCCATTCCAATTTTGTACATAAAATATAAAAGTCTACAAAATCAACATATAAATTTTTTTCTGTACTTGAAATTATTTCAATATCACACATAAGTATTAATGAAAACAAACAGTATGAAAATGTTATAATGAATTAGTTTCTTCATAAATCCTTCAAATTTTGGACTATGAAGGACTCCTGATACAAATGTACAATCACTCACTGCTGTATATTTTTCCAATAAAATGACATCGAAGAAATCAGAAAATATTCTTTTGAAAGATATACTGGTAAATAATATGTTGTATCAAACAACAAAACACATAAGTTTGTGAGGAGATTGTATAAAGGTTAAAATGATTCAACTGTTCTTAACAAAAAAGAAAGTCTGAAGTTCAACAGTAAAAGATTTCTTACACCTGGACTTGAAGCAGCAAATTGTGGAAATGGACATTCATCAATTTGACCCCATTCATCATATTTATATTGACAAGCCTCGGGGTCGTGTACATCTGTATTTGTCTGACCACGCACTATACCTCTATAACATACACACAAAAATAACTACTTAAATGTATTTACATGTATATCAACATAATAGAATAATCTGACCAAAATAAAATGTTCTATGATAAATAACAAGAGCTGTCAGTAGGACAGCACGCTCGACTATTCTAAGTGCTTGATAGTAAAAGAGCCTTTATAATGCTAATTTTTTTCATAAATTCATGTTATAGGCCTTAGAGAGAGTCTAATTATACAGTATTGGCTTGACTATTCGGAAGGTAATGTCACAAGGGTGTTTAATTGAGTAAAATAATAATAATTACCTATGAATACATAAATTTGACAGAAAAGGTACAAAGGCTTGTTATTAAGATGTTTTATCAAGTTAATCACTGCTTTATTATTATGAATGCATAAAATTGTCCCAAAAAAGGTACAAACCCTTCAGTAGTTATTAAGATAACAGCTTACAAGCAAAACTTTACCATGAATTTTTAAGTTGAAAAAGCCCGGAAGAAAAATCAGCCTAAATGCAAGATAGAATTATGGATCTTTGTCAGTGCCTACAATTATGACCCTAAATGCATATGTGAAGTTTTAAATAAATATCTTTAATAGTTATTGAGATATGTAAAACTATCATGTTAACATTAACCAAGAGACTAAGTAGAAAAGGGGATATGAATCAGCCTTAATGCAAGATAGAGTTATGGAACTTGGTCAGTGACATACAATTATGACCCTCCAATTATGACCCTAAGTGCATGTGTAAAGTTTCAAGTAAATATCTTTGAAGACCTTTAACCTTTAACCAAAATTTCTAAGTTTCAAAGGGGCAAATAATTCTGCAAATATTGCAGGCAGAGTTATGCAATTTTGCAAACTGATATACATTGTTACTATAAAAGAGTATTTTAAATTTCAATTGAATATCTCAAGCAATAATTAAGATATTTGACTTTACAAAAAAAACTTTAACCAAAATTTCTAAGTTCCAAAGGGGTATAATTCTGTCAATATTGTAGGCAGAGTTATCCAACTTGTCAATCTGATGTACCTTGTTACTATAAATAAGTATTGTAAGTTTCAATTGAATATCTCAAGCAATAATTGAGATATTTGACTTTACAAAAAACTTTAACCAAAATTTCTAAGTTAAAAAGGGGCATAATTCTGTCAATATTGTAGGCAGAGTTATCCAACTTGTCAATCTGATGTACCTTGTTACTATAAATAAGTATTGTAAGTTTCAATTGAATATCTCAAGCAATAACTGAGATATTTGACTTTACAAAAAACTTTAACCAAAATTTCTAAGTTAAAAAGGGGCATAATTCTGTCAATATTGTAGGCAGAGTTATCCAACTTGTCAATCTGATGTACCTTGTTACTATAAATAAGTATTGTAAGTTTCAATTGAATATCTCAAGCAGTAATTGAGATATTTGACTTTACAAAAAACTTTAACCAACGCAGACGCCGACGCGGACGCTGACGCCGACGCCGGGGCGACTAGAATAGCTCTCATATTCTTCGAATAGTCGAGCTAAAAAAGAATTTAATAAACAATATGATCATGCAATAACACATTATTTACATACTAGTGCAACTATGAATGAAAACAATGATTAAACTTTAACCTCTAGAATGCCAGCAGGCCAGTCTGCTTATTTGGCTGCTTATTTGAAATCTTACTAGGCTTTCTACTGTACAATTTTACTACTATGAATGCAATGTGGAAGACTTACTGTAAACCATGGACACATATTCCGATGAAGAACAACACAAACAAATGATGTGTAAACCAGAACAGCTCAAAATATGATCTCCTAAAATGATTAAAATAATAAAGGATTAGTTTCAAATGCATATGATTTCTTCATATAGCCATTAAGTACAATAATACCCTACAGAAAATATTGACAACTGAAATCATACTGAAGTCATCTAATGACAGCAAACAATAACCTCCATTTACCAAGTGAATTCTGCAATAGTTCACAATATAACTTAGGAAATCATTTGTTAATTTTTCATTTACATAAAGGAAAGTCAGTGTGGTAAAAACCTGTATTTCCCATTACATATCAGTAGATAATTACCATGTAACACATATGTTCAATAGGTATCAGTTAATAATTACCGTATAACCTCTGTTGATGAGCTGACCATAATTATTAAAGCTAGAGTAGCAACAAGTCCTGAGATACCCGCAACCGTCTTTACTACAAACAGAGATGGTTCCTGAAATGAAATATATATATGGCTAGTGGATAATTAAACTTGAAATATATATATGGCTAGTGGATAATTAAACTTGAAATATATATATGGCTAGTGGATAATTAAACTTGAAATATATATATGGCTAGTGGATAATTAAACTTGAAATATATATATGGCTAGTGGATAATTAAACTTGAAATATATATATGGCTAGTGGATAATTAAACTTGAAATATATATATGGCTAGTGGATAATTAAACTTGAAATATATATATGGCTAGTGGATAATTAAACTTGAAATATATATATGGCTAGTGGATAATTAAACTATTTGTTATCTTGGTAAAGTGTGAGAACTGCAAACTGACAAGTTATGATAAATAACATTTCCAATTTATTATATAAACTATTTATTATATACTTATAATCTTTAATATTCTTTAATATCTTTTATATTTAATTATAAAGAAATTCTACTGAACAGTTTGAGTATATGTCTAAAACTCCCGAAAAACGTCCTTAAAATTACTTTTATCACCATGTCTATGAGATAATAGTTAAATATAAACTAAATCCATAAACCTCAGTAGCATCTCTAACAGGGTTAATATATGTCTCATACGGGTTACCATCGTCAAGGTTACTGAGGGCAGAGAGAACTCCTTTTACATTTTCCTCCTCTGATTCAATATCTTCTTCTGTAATGCCATTATGAGCAACAAACATACGTTCCACATTAAACACATGTGATCCGATATGTACAGCTGTAATAAAACAAAGAATATCTAAATCTTTATATAATACTTCATGGTAAATTTATGTTTAAACTGTCTCAACTGTTTACAATGACTCATTGGTACAAACAATGGCAGTTTTGTCGAAAACTTTCTTTCCTCAAGAAATGAGAGCTTAAGATACATTTTACAATAGAGTAAACTCTGCTTATAACCATATTTAGGGGACCATCCAATTTACATTGTTATATCTGGATATTGTTATATATAAGAGGCAATAAACCCGAAAACAAGAGTCGGGCCACGTGAACAGCATCTTTATAAGTGGAATATCGTTATAAGCGATGTAGTTATTGGAGCTTACTGTTTTTGTTTTAAATCCAGTTAAATGTCCACTTTCAGATGCTACATATATTTACAACTTCATGGAAATTTTCAGTAAATACAATGTACAAAGTTCAACTAGAAGGGTTTTTGTCACAAAAACATATGTCTCCCAAAACTATGTATGGTCACTCATGTGATGTTTCATTGAAATCCCACCAGTAGCTTGACCTGTGAAAGCCAGAAAAGAATTTTTTATTTATAGCTCTGACGGCCATAATGTGCAGAAAAGCAGAACATGCTGGTGACGTGCACAACTAGGGATGGTACTGATCACTCCTGTAAAGTTTGGTTGAAATCCCACCAGTAGTTTGACCTGTGAAGGGCAGACAAGCTAAATACGGACAGACAACGGACGGACGGACAGACAGACGGCAAAGGCAAAAACAATATGTCTCCCAAAAATTTTGGGAGACATAATGATTCGTATATACACTTACCAGTATGTAGACAGATCATATAAGCTATATATCTATGGAATGTTATATGTTTGTCCAACTGTCGTCTCACTGACTTCTTGCAGCATCTCTGAAAGATTTTTTTAAAAGTACCTAATTACTTCAAAAAGCATGACTGACAAATAAATTAGAAATTACAGATTCACTTTTTGGTACAATTGAAAACTAGTTATAATTTTTTTGAAGGATCAACTTTTGAGTATATCTTATGTATTTATGTACATGTATTACTAGTATTTGAAATAAAACTTTTTTTATCAAAAGCAAAGCAGTATTTTTTGTTAATATCATTTGATTTAATAGAAGACAAAAATAATGTACGCAGAAAATGTACATTAAATTGATTTCTCATTTCTATAAAAGGAATGCTGGATTATAGAAACAGCATCTTTTATATTATGAGAATTTCATTTCGTGAATTCAGCACTGTTAAGGCTTATGAACTGTTAATTCTATAATTACAAAACACAAAATAAATCATTTCTTTATTGACACTAAGTACAAGTACTGGTAATATATATAAATTTATATAATTCTCACCTTTAAAGATCCCCTGAGAAAGGAAAGGAGGTTACGACAAACAGGAAACAATATTAACATACAGTTGAGGTTAAGGCATGCAGCACTAGCCCTCGCCCATGGTAATGCATCCTAAAATACAACAAATGCACATACATGTATATATCATCTATAAAATTATTTTAATTAAATTAATCAATTAATATTTATAAAATATAAATTTTATAAATGTCAGTATAAAGCTAACCACACATATTATTGGGTATATTTTAAATTGTTATTATATTTCTATAATTCATATATTTCTGTTTGAAGGAAGCAGTGGCCTAGTTTTTAAAGTTGTCTGCCTCTCAATCCAGGAAACATGGGTTCAAGCCCTACTTTGGACATGATCAGGTGACACCAGCACTGGTAAGTTTTAGCAAGTACAGTTTTCATAATCAAGCTTAAATAAGAAGATTGTATTGTTACACTTGTGCATCATCTCAAGGATCATCAACATGAAGAATGTCCATAACAGACCTTTAATGCTTTATAGTTTTTGAAACTAAAAATGAATAGTAAGAGCCACAATGTGGTGTTTATTTCAGTAGTAAAATATAAAGGTATGGATAGCTATGAAATGAAAAATCCAATGCCCTGTTAAACTTACCCCTACAATAAGCCTGAGATAGTAGAAATCTGCCGACTGTTTATATAACAAGTAAGCATACACAAACATCCCTATGTTGCCTGCTATCCATACAGCCTGAAATCAAAGATGGTACAATATTGTTTACAACATAATATATAATTATCTATATTCTGTCAGAATGTTTCAGAAACAATATATGTTGGGGGGTGGTGGGGCGGGGTGGGGGGTCACCACGATATTTTCCTTGAGATTTATTTGTTTTAACTATTACAAAAACTCTCAAAAATCTTCTCTTGACACTACAATACCAAAAACTATGGGGGGGGGGGGGGTTTTTCCCCAAAAAAAAATTTTTAAATTTTTTTTTTAAAAAAAAAAAAATTTAAAAAATTTAAAAAAATTTTTGGGGGCCCCCCAAAAAATTTTTTCCCAAAAAATTTAATTTTTTTTAAAAAAAAAAAAAAACCTTTTTTTTTTTTTTTTTAAAAAAAAAAAACCCCCAAAAAAAGGGGGGGAAAAAAAGGGTTTTTATTAAAATTTTAAACCCCCCTTTTTTTCTTTTTTTTTCCTTCAAAAAAAAATTTTTGGGAAAAAAAAAAAAAAATTTAATTTATTTTTTTTTTTTTTCCCCAAATTTTTAAATTTTTTTAAAAAAAAAAAATTTAAACCTTTTTTTTTTTTGGGAAAAAAATTTTGTTTTTTTAAAAAAAAAAAAAAAAAAAAACCTTTTTTTAAAAAAAAAATTTTTTTTTTTTTCCCCTTTTAAAAAAAAGGTTTTTTTTTAAAAGGGGAAAAAAAAAAAAAAAAAAATAAAAAAAGTTTAAGGGGGCCGGGCCCCCCTTTTGGGGTTTACCGGCTTTTTTTTTTCCCCAAAAATTTAATTTTTAAAATTTTTTCCCAAAAAAAAAAAAAAAAAACCCCCCAAAAATTTTTTAAATTTTTTTTTAAAAAAAAAATTTTAAATTTTTTTAAAGGGAACCTTTTTTTAAAAAATTTAAAAGGGGGAAACCAAAAACCCCTTTAAATTTATTTAAAGGGGTTTAAGAAGTAGGCAGTATAGTCGGGTAAAAAATTCCCATCCCTATAGAAAAAGTTTTTTTACAGGGATGGGATTTTTTTTTAATCAGATTTTACTGCTATTATTGACTTTTTTTTTAATCAGATTTTACTGCTATTATTGACAGGATTTCAAGCCGACATTTACATTTTCTAAATCAAAAGCCAGGCAAGTCCAATATATAAAACCAGGAGGGGGGGAGTAGGTATGGTCACTGAATGATTACCGTACTTGTACATAAATGTTATATTTGGTTTGGTCATTAACCTTTAGCCAACAAGCCTTTGCCATCAGCCAGGCTAACCTGCAAACCTGTGCAGTCTAACCAGGCACTTTACTGTTGATAGCTCAATTTTTGTAATTCAAAATATAAATCCCTTAAATTTAACATGAACTGTTCCAAATTCAAAACTGGATAAATCCATTAATCAAAGTCAGGAGGTCAAGGGTTAAATAGTTTAATGTGTGATGTTCTCACAATTTCTAGGAATTGTGTGGCTATTTTTAGACTAGATTTGACAAGTTTGGTTTAAGCCAATAGAATAACAAAATAATCAGAGAGTGGTCACATGACTGTATGACACAATTAAATTGATATTCTTCTAAATATTGACAATGTTACCATTACAGTCATGGCTATCATAATACTGTAGGCGTTCTAGATCAATAAATAAAGGTAAATATTGATTAATTTAACTTGAACATTTTAAATGATTTATAAAATATTTATTCTTTATTTCACTAGCCATTCTGAACATAAATTTATTTCTGCCCTATTCAGTAATACTGTTACAATAAGATAAAAATATTAATTCTAAATGTTTCAATCTGGCCTAATCCTTTTTAATTTCATAATGAAACATTGAATACTAGCAGTAATATAAATCATTATCTGCTATTCATAACTGGCATCTGTATTTACAAATGGTTACAGCTATGAACTGATGAACCCTTTTGCTGTCAGTATTATAAGTGACAACTCATTTGCCTGGAGCATTTCTATGAAAGACAGGAGTTTAACTGTTTAAGTAACATATAGATGTTAATTTGTTCACTTCATGCATATCTAATTATCTATTCATCTACTATTTTGTCAAACACCTGCTGGGGACCTAGACTTTATTAATTATTTAACACTTGAAAATAAAAAGTTAACTCAGGGTAAGACAAAATGTTTTTATTCCAACCTCCACAGAACAAAATAATGATGAAAATACCAAAAATAATGAAGTCAACCAATTAGTTCAGTAACAAGCATACCTGTCTTCTTGGCAAATAGATTATCATCAGTATACATGATACTGCCTGATTTAGGAAAACAAGAGGGCCAAGATGACCGTACAAACTCATCCGAGCAATTACCTAGACAAGCATCCTGACCAAGTTTCATGACTGTTGAGTAAAAAATGTGACCACTAGAGTGTGAAAAAGGTTTTTCCATATTTGAGCAGTGTGACCTAGCTTTTGACCCCAGTTGACCTATATTCAAACTTGACCTAGAAATCATCAAAACAAACTTTCAGACCAATTTCCAGGATATTTGGATCAAAACAGTAGCCTCTAGAGTGTGAACAAGATTTTTCTATTTTTAGCTCCTGTGACCTAGTTTTTCATCAGAGATGACCCATGTTTGAACTCGTCCGAGCAATTACATTGTACCTAGAAAAGCACCCTGACTAAGTCTGATGACAATTGAGTAAAAAATGTGACCACTAGAGTGCTAACAAGGTTTTTCCATATTTGGGCAGTGTGACCTAGTTTTTGACCCCAGGTGACCCATATTTGAACTTGACCTAGAAGTCATCAAAACAAACTTTCAGACCAATTTCCAGGACATTTGGATCAAAACAGTATTCACTAGAGTGTTAACAAGATTTTGCTATGTTTAGCTCCTGTGACCTACCATAGATTTTCTTCCAAAATGACCCATATTCTATCTAATCTAAGCAATTACCTAGACAAGCATCCTGATTTAGATTGATGATGATTGAGTCAAAAATGTGACCACTAGAGTGTTAACAAGTTTTTTCTGTATTTGGGTTGTGTAACCTAGTTTTTGACCCCAGGTAACCAATATTCAAACTTGACCTAGAAATCATCAAAACAAACTTTCAGACTTATTTCCAGGATATTTGCATCAAAATAGTAGCCACTAGAGTGTTAACAAGATTTTTCTATTTTTTGCTCCTGTAACCTAGTTATTCATATGAGATGACTCATGTTTAAACTCATCTGAGCAATTACCTAGACAAGCATCCTGGCCAAGTTTGATGACAATTGAGTAAAAAATTTGACTACTAGAGTGTTAACAAAGTTTTTCCATATTTGGGCAGTGTGACCTAGTTTTTGACCCCAGGTGACCCATATCAAATTTGACCTAGAAATCATCAAACCAAAACTTTTAGACCAATTTTCAGGATATTTGGATCAAAACAGTAGCCACTAGGAGTGTGAACATGATTTTTCTACTTTTAGCTCCTGTGACCTAGTTTTTCATCCGAGATGACCTATGTTCAAACTTTTCGAGCAATTACCTAGACAAACAACCTCACAAAGTTTGATGATGATCAAGTTAAAATGTGACCACTAGAGTGTTAACAAGGTTTTTCCATATTTGGGCAGTGTGACCTAGTTTTTGACCCAAGGTGACCCATTTCAAACCTGACCTAGAAATCACCAAAACAAACTTTCAGACCAATTTCCAGGATATTTGGATCAAAACAGTAGCCACTAGAGTGTTAACAAGATTTTTCTATTTTTAGCTCCTGTGACCTAGTTTTTCATCCGAGATGACTCATGTTCGATCTCATCCGAGCAATTACCTAGACAAGCATCCTGACAAAGTTTGATGATGATAGAGACAAAAATGTGACCGCTACAGTGTTAACAAAAAATGTGGGCGGACGATGGACGACACTCGAGTGAGCTTAAAAAAGGGTTAACAATTTTTATATTTATCATTTGGATTTAAAATGATGAGCTCATTTAGCTTGATGAAAAAGTGGTTGACACATTATGTTATTGTCAGCGTGGGACCAAGCACTACCTAAAGGGGTTAACCCCTAGGACTCTCTTTAATACCCAAATATCCTTCAACTCATTTTAAAATACATGTCAATACAAAATCGAACAATTCTGACAAAAAATATATTACTGATACAATGTACTATAGTTTTGTTAGAATTGGGTAGTATAGAGGGTCCTAGGGAACTCCCTTAGTTCAAGGAAGGGATATTGGAAAATGGGCGACATAGTTACATAAATAGAATTTTTTCATAAATTTCAGGAAAATGGTAAAATCATGTCACTGCCTTTTGGTGTGAAGTTGAAAAGAATCTAAATTGCTTAAGAAGTACATAAAATGGAAGATCACTTACAACAAATAGATGTTGGAGTTATGTAACTTGATCATGATCTTTGTAGGGAAGTATGTTTTGTTTTTTTTATAAAATGAAGCCATTATAATAAAAATAAGCCCAAATGTAACCCATTTACCCAATTAAGAAAAATACATAAATCTATTTTTTAAAAGCATAAAGGGAGATAACTTAAAATTATGTATGCCTGAGTACTGCACATGTTAATATCATCACATATCTATTTGTAAGTATGCAAAGTATGAATTCATTAGTACATTAGAAATTAGGATAAATCTTATTTGCTGATATAGCTGAATTATAATTTATATGATGTACAGATGGCTCTCATACTATATGATAAGGTCTTGTCCCTTAACTACCATACTTGATGATCATGAATCAAAATAAATTGCAAAATAAATTTCAGTAATATAGAAAGAGGTCACTAAAAGATAATTTCTATCAAAATAAACATTAAAATTGAATATATCTGAAAATTTCAGGGTTAGAATTTAGCAATATTTTCTACTTGCAGATTTTTGCAAGTGATCAAATGTTTAACTGGCAATATGAGGTACCGGTAGTCAACTGGCATTTCCATGTTCACGTATCTTATTACATGTATTACTATAATACACAATGACAATGCATTTTGAACATCTGGTATGACAAATTATAACAAGAACCGGTTGAACCGGGTGATGCTCCCCGAGAAGGTTCTGGACACAGGAAAGTATAAAAAAAATGAACAAAGGGCAAAAACTCCAAAATTAAGCAAGGAGGAGTTATGTTATTTTGCACTGCACTTCTATTCAATGAGATCTATCTATCTATAAAGTTTCCTGATGATATCACTAATCAGAGTTATGTCCCTGGTAAAATTCAAAGTGTAAAAATGAACAAAGGGCAATAACTCCAAAATTAGACCAGGCTTTGTTTAGGTTCTTTAAGCATTGCAGTTCTATCCAATTATATCTAGCTAACTACAAAGTTTCATGTTGATATCTCTAATAGTTTTAAAGTTATGTCCCGGACAAAAGTCAAAAAGTAAAAATAAACAAAGGGCAATTACTTCAAAATAAGGCAAGGCAGAGTAATGATTCTTAAGCACTGCACTTCCATCCAATGAGACCTATCTATCTACAAAGTTTCATGTTCTGATATCTCTTATAATTTTAGAGTAATGTCCCGGACAAAGTTCAAAGTGTCAAAATGAACAAAGGGCAATAACTCCAAAAGTAGGCAAGACAGTGTTACAGTTCTTGTGCACTGCAAACCTACTTAATGAGATCTATCTACCTACAAAGTTTCATGTTGATACCTCTTATAGTTTTAGAGTTATGTCCTGGACAAAGTTCAAAGTTTAAAAATAAACAAAGGGGGATAATTAAAAAATTAGGCAAGGCAGTGTTATGGTTCTTGTGCACTGCACACCTACTCAATGAGATCTATCTACCTACAAATTTTCATGTTGATACCTCTTATACTTTTAGAGTTATGTCCCGGACAAAGTTCAAAGTGTAAAATAAACAAAGGGGGATAATTCAAAAATTAGGCAAGGCAGAGTTACGGTTCTTGTGCACTGCACACCTACTCAATGAGATCTATCTACCTACAAAGTTTCATGTTGATACCTCTTATACTTTTAGAGTTATGTCCCGGACAAAGTTCAAAGTGTAAAAATAAACAAAGGGGAATAATTCAAAAAATAGGCAAGGTAGAGTTACGGTTCTTGTGCACTGCACACCTACTCAATGAGATCTATCTACCTACAAAGTTTCATGTCGATACCTCTTGTTGTTTCAAAGTTAAGTCCCGGACAAGAAAACGGGACGGACGGACGGACAAGGCGGCGACTATATGCTCCCCCGAAATTTTTTTCGGGGAGCATAATAAGCTTGAATGTCTACTGAATTTATCACTAGTAAACACAGATCTCTTCTTGTAACGAAACAAAACATTTCAACACATTAATTTATAAATGATAAACAATTGTTAAGGGATCAGATTAGATATACCAGAGGAGCACCCACTGGTGACAATGTACAGCTATAAACTTGTTCATGTAATGTAATTTCTTAGGACCTTCATTATTTTAGCATATTTTGTGCTTGATTACACCAACCGCCTGAAAACAAGAGGTACTGATCTACTTAAATAAATTTTTCAGCTTAAAAGTAATCACTTGCATTTACATTCGATAAAACAACATTTAACCAGTTATAAATAGTCCATCAAAACATAGTCACAGAAAAAAATAAATAGAGCAACTAAAAATTGATTTTATAAGTTTCTAAGGTAAACATCACCAGTGACTGCATCTGGCACAGTAAACATCATCAGTTTCTGCAGTGGGCAGTTGCAAAGCATCACCATCAGCTCAGATTAGATAACAATTTTGTAAAAGTCCAAAATGAACAGTCACTTGCAAATAAATGCCAGCTAGAGTAATTTTTACTGGCATTATTGGATTTTAACTGGCATTTTGCCAGTATGCCAGCTTAAATTCGAACCCTGAATTTACTACAAAAATATAGACTAGTAGGGCACATAGATCACAATCCCCTTTCAGTCTATGTTTTCAACAGATCAAAATTATTAAAGCAGTCATGGTCAATATCAAAGATCTAAACTTTTTTTTCAATCTTGAGGGCAAACATGGCCATGACACTTAAAAGGGCAAGAACAATTAATAACGATACGTTAGTTGATATGCAAACATAATACACAATTTTAACCACAGGCTAAGTAGCAACAGCTACACTTGATTTTGTTAATTACATTACTACTGATCAAGTTAATGTATCAATTTAAACATCTCCTGATTATAATAACTACCTGGTAAATAAATAATGATGTCATGTCACTCTTGTATTCCAGGGCCAAGCAGAGAGATGTACAACAGAAAATATTCTTAATCTTTACAATTTAGATGGCAGTCCAAGTTTTGTCAACAATGTGATTTTACTTGTCATCATTCTTGCTCAATAAAAACAATTGTAAGTAAACCAGAGTTCTTATTGTGCAAACCAATTACATTTGTATAGATACATATCTGAGCAGTATGGTGGCTGATGTGTGCCATGTTGTATTTTCACTCTGTGCAGCGCCAGACGAAAACAGGAAAATATGACAAAGTGGTTACTTTGTTGTACATTTTGTGTTTTCGTCTAGTGCCCCTTGAAGTGCAAATACGACATGGCACAAATCAGCAACAATAGAGCAGTGTGTGCAATACTCTCAGCTACTGGCTCTTCATAATTGTTCAACTTTAGTTTTCTTATCTTGAAATCCCCAAATATCAAAAAATTTGAAATTTCAAAAACTAAACAGGATAAGTCCATTACAGGGAATCTGCAAGAAAAACTTGAACTTTTTAAACAGTTAAGCTTTAATAAACCAATATTGTGGAATGTCTATCATCAAATTGAACAAGATTTATTTTCGATTATATGTTTATAGAAATTCACTTACAATAAGAATCCATCTTGGAATGTCATTCAACAATCTTGCCATTGCTCTAGGTTACTCTCTAAGACTTAAAGAGGAATCAAAATTTGCTCTAGGTTACTCTCTAAGTTGAATCAAAATTTGAGGATAATGTAAAGATCACATGTCTATTTTTGTAATCTCAATGCATGCGATGCCATACTTGACATTCTGAAAATAAAATGAAAGTATTCATATATACAAGTATATACATGTACATTGCATTATTACATAACAGCATATCTATATATAACTTTATTTTCACTGTTTACAGCACAAAAGCCTGATTTTTTATCTCAAACAGTAACTTGAGTCCAGATAAATAATTTGATATACATGTATAACCAAAAAATAAACATGTATTACTATATTTAAAACATCAACCAACAAATTTTCACAAAGATAATCCGGAATTCTTGATTCACTGAGCCAAATAAGAAGATTGGAAAACAATCAGCCAATCACATAATACAGTTAAACTACGTTCACTAGAACTCAGATTGCTCGAAAACCTTCCTTCGCTCGAACTCATCGCCCAGTCCCGGCAAAGTTCAATATCATAATTATATATTCAATTGTTCAACCTTGGATCGCTTGTACACTGATCGCTCAAACTCTCAAACCTGATCTCTGGTCCCTTTGGCAGAAATATAGTGAATAACACTTTCATGGTGAAACACAAAAAGACAACATAAGTTGTGGGTCGACATCTTCTGAATTAGTGACAGCCGGCAACATGTTTTTTAATAACTTGTGATCATGATAAAGGCAATTAAGGTTAATTTGATACAAAATTTGAGGTGTTGTAACCGATTTGTTTGTAATGATAATATTGTTTATTTGTTGTCTTTAGTTACGAAAAAAAGAAAATAATTCTAGAAATAAGTGAAATGTGCAAAGGTCAAAAAATGACGGTCATCCGGATGGCTTTAATTACAGCCTCAGTAATGTAACGTGTATTGTGACCGTCTTATCTTTTTATAGAATGATACTTGTATATGTGTTTAATTTAGTAAATGACTACAAAAAGATGCTGCTGTAAAATGATTTTTTAAAACTATTTTATTTATTTAATTGTTTAAAATAACATTTATACCATAATAAAGTATTATAAACATATAAATATATTTTGAACATTTTTCAACAGGTTTGAATTCATAATTCCATTTCAAAGTACTGTTGGTGATATTAAACTTATCAGAAAGATTTTTTTGTTTAGATTGACTATTTACGTAAAGCTCTTAATCTCTTATATGTGATGAAAGTGCATGATAAATAGTAATCATGCAGGTTGGTTGAACAAATGTCCTTTTAAATTAAATTTCCAAATTTTCCGAATTATCCGAAAACTAAGCAACTTCATATGCATACAAATACGAATACCTATCCAACAAGGAATATTGCAAAAGCGACTCCAGATTAAATGACACAAAATATAATACACTTACTATATTTTCATAAGATTTAATCTTCGAAATAGTGTTGTAGGTCGATAGATCGAGAGATATTGTCACTTCCGCGTATCTATTTACCTTAACTAATCGCCGATATCCGGTTTCCGTCTATCTTAGTCGCCCTACAACAGTCCAGTTTCACGTGCAATTTTGTCCAACTTTAAACTTAAGTTTATCTCCCTTGACCCATCATCACTGCTTAATAAAGAGTAATGCAGATGTGGGACAGAAAATACATGATTATTCACTTTGATTCCAAGACTGTTGATTTTCAAAATATGAAAATGCTACAAAACCGGGCTATAGATCTAAATACATGTATACATTGAAACTGGGACTTAAAATGATGACTTTCTCTTATCGTAAGTCCCAGATTTAAATAAGGCACACAAATTATAAGTTGGATAAAGATCTTCAAGTTTCCTTTACCTGGTCCTTTACCTGCTGAATTTGTGTGGCATTTCATTCAAAGGTTGATGGATTTCTATATTAAAATACAAAAACTGAACCACCCACATGTGATCAAACTGCACGAATGTGCTGGTGGTGGTTTTTGTAGTTTAGCGTGGCCTCTGGATCACGAGAGAAAGAATTTCACCAGAGCAAAGTTCAGCAACCGCATCGTTTCTGGTGCCTTCAGTTCACTTATTACTTCTGTGCATGCCAGAGATACCGTGCAAGTAACCGTAGAAAGGATTTCATAGTCAATCACAACTAAAATGGCCTGCACCGTCCGGGTATCGAACCTGAATCCCCCATTCAAAGTCCAACGCTCTACCAAATAAGCCAACCGGACGGTAGTACAGGTCAACCTGAATGTTTATACTGGTATCAAAGGCGAATTAGTGCTCGCCAATTTTTTTAAGCCAATCACCGACGAGGATTTTTCAAATTTTCAGGTTACAAATCTTAATAGAACAGATTTTATATAAACTGGGCGTTTTATATTATAAAACGCAAGTGGGCGGAGCACTAAGCCGGTTAGAGTGCATATTGGATGTTCTTCGTAAATAAGAAAGCTACAGTCGCTTCGCAAGCTCCGCTCCTTTTTAGCTTTCTTATTTACGAAGAACACCCAATATGCACTCTAACCTATACCTAGTATGATTATAATATGTTAAGTTTCTATATGTTTATATTGTAAATATGCATACTATCGTGTTTTTTGTTGTTGTTGTTGTTTTTTCAAATAAATATTTACACTAAAAGTCAAAGGTCATGAGGCATATGTGCCAACAAAGTGCGCTGACTCAATGGACTATGTATTACAAATGTACATTGGTTGATTATACGTAACAGTAACCCAGGAATTACTATTAAGTTTACTCTATCCAAAATATGAATTGAAAGAAAGAAAAAAAGAAAGAAAGAAAGAAAGAAAGAAAAAGAAAGAAAGAAACAAACAAACAATCAAATAAACAAACAAAATATACCATAGAGATTGTTTCTAATATATAACAGACACTGTTCAAATTGGCTTTAAACAAAGTAAAGTATCTTTACCTATAATGAGTTGTCTTTTACAAAAGTCAGTTTTTTTAGTTTTCCAGATAAAATATTTCATCCCATGCAATTTCATGGAATATTTCAATTGTTAACTTATTTACAGGTATCACATATTATCACACACTCGTGCCGATTTTGCGACTCCGTAAATATGGTATTGCACGGCCGTGCATATATTTTGACGTGACGTCATTAGCGTTATACAAACATAGTGTCAAGACGCGCTAAATGTTCGCGTTATATAGGCGCGTCAATGAAAAATGATTCTTATTTTACTTTAAACGGTCTTTATTTTGGGTATGTGATAAATAGAATATTAAATTCGTGTAAGTTCATTACTGAAATTATTGCACTCGTTGAATAAAATAATATTATGCTCGCCAGAGGCTCGCATAATATAATTTTATTCAACTCGTGCAATCAATTCAATATTGAACTTACACTCATTCAATATCATCTATTTATGATAAGGCATGCTGATCGATCAGAAATAATCTATAATGATGTCATCAAGATATTATTATAAAATATTTTGATCGGTTATCATAGAAATAAAGATATAATTATCATGAACAGCCGGGTAAAGAAATCTAAAAGAGATTAAAGCTCGTGGAGTTTTCATATTCTTCTCTCTATAAACATAATTATATTCCGTGTTCATGCAATTCAGACACATTTCTATTTCAAGATGATTTAAGAAATAATATATCCCAAACTGTGATTTTATCGCTCAATAACATCACTGTTTGGAGTTCGGATGCGAGGAATTAGATCACGAGGGCGTAGCCCGAGTGATATAATGATGCGCATCCGAACGACAAACAATAGATGTTATCCAGCGATAAAATCACCGATTTGGATATATTATTTCGATTCAAACACGACATCAACAAATAAATGCTGCCGTACCATATATTAAGCAAAATTGCGCATGATTTGTTTCCGTACTTAATGTCAGCGCGTCGGATTTTGTAGAGGTTACGTCACATGTATAATGATTACGTCACATGTCTAAATATAGAACGTCAAACAGTGATTTTATACCATAATAACACACACTTTCGGTTCTTCTATGTTCAATTGGGGAAAATGCAGGTCGTGTTAGAATAAGAAATAATATATCCCAAACTGTGATTTTATTGCTCAATAACATCACTGTTTGGAGTTCTGATGCGATGCAAGGAATTATATCACGAGGGCTACGCCCTCGTGATATAATGATGCGCATCCGAACGACAAACAGTGATGTTATCAAGCAATAAAATCACCGATTTGGATATATTATTTCGATTCTAACACGACATCAACAAATAAATGCTGCCATCCCTGATATTAAGCTAAACTGCGCCTGATTTGTTACCGTACTTATTGTCAGCGCGTCACATTTTAGGGGTTACGCCAAGTGTATTATGATTACGTCACAAGTCTAAATATAAAACGTCAAACAGTGATTTTATAGCATAACATACACTTTCGGTTCTTCTATGTTCAATAGGGAAAAATGCGAGTCGTGTTAGTGTCACGGTTCAGAACTGTTCACTATTTAGGGGAGAAGATGTGTAAGCGGCCGGATAGCTCAGTCGGTAGAGCCGCGGTACGGTATTACGAAGGTCCCGGGTTCGAGTCCCGGTCAGGCTGCACATTTTTCTCACCCTGTAACATTTGGCGCCCAACGGGGGACCGTGACTGCTTATAGCTCAGAGTTCAATTAGCATTGCTCTGTAGCTTTGTGAAATTCGAGGACGAATTTCAATATTGTGGTGAAGTATGTCACGGTTCAGAACTGTTCACTTTTTAGGGGAGAAGATGTGTAAGCGGCCGGATAGCTCAGTCGGTAGAGCCGCGGAACGGTATTCCGAGGGTCCCGGGTTTGAGTCCCGGTCAGGCTGCACATTTTTCTCACCCTGTGACATTAGAATATTGTACTACCTCGATTTCAAGGTATAATTGAGTTCAAGTAACAATGTTCTATCGCTACAGTACTTTTGATTATTGTGATGATGATGACAACAACGACGATATTTATTTTTATTTTTTTAACAATATTGGTGACGACGACGACGATGATGATATTTGTAATGACGATGACGTCGGTGATATTGGTGATGACGACGACGATGATGATGATATTTGTGATCACGACGACGTCGATAATTATATTGGTGTCTGAGACGACGACGTCGATGATAATAATTATGAAATGGCAGGCATAATTTGACTTTATAAGTTTGTAAAAAAAGGGACATCAAAAATATTCGTACTATATTCATTAAAAGCAAAAATATTCTCAATAGCGTCATGCATTTATAGAATGCTGAACTTATAATAACATTAAATATCTTATAAATTATTTTGCGTAACTTAATCTTTCAACGGACAAGTATATTCGTCTACTTGTCGATACTATAAATGTTTGATGAAATTAAAGTATTTACTTTGAATAATCAGTCTCCACCAGTTATAAAAACGTCCCGTCGATTTTTAATTTAGCTATAAAAGCGGATACCCAGAAGACCTGAAATAGCTGTCCACGTTGACAATTGGAAAATATTGATTCCATTTCACTGACAGCTTTCTTGTGCACAAATTTTAAATTTGTTTACGAAACCCCTTTAACGCCGCGTCACACGATATCAATATTAATTTACTAGTTAATATGATTCTAGTTTTTGAGACCAATATATCCACTTTAACTGCGACAATGATTTTACTGAGCGATCATACAGATATTGATTGGTATAATCAGAAACTTATAGATCCTTGACGTGGGAATTCCTGCAAAGCTCTTCTATTGATTGTGACACATGACTAAAATAGAAAATAAAAGACAGACATGACATTAAAAAACACACACCTGAAGTTTACCTTTCCTACAACCTCTTTAAATGGTGTACCGTTTGAAAACTAAAGGATTTCAATTATTAAAATTTAATATATATTGATCGTTACTTATTGACTTGTGTAGTAAGGTTGCGTGGAAACTTCTAGCTGCTTTGAAGTTTTAGTATATAAACAGAACAATGACCAATACTAGTGGACTTACACACGTCATAAGGTTTGTGATTTTTTTGTTCAAAACTTTCAATAGACTTAAAGGGACTCTACTGAGGTTTTTGACACGACAGGAGTGTAAATATTTTTTTCGGGATTAATGTTCTATTTAATGAAGGTTTAGATCAATTACTTGTTAATTATTCTAATTGTGAAAATTGACACAAAATTGAAAACGTTGCAACGCTTTTCACTCATATCTGGCTAAGAATAGCACAAACCTACGTTCCAAGTGTATTTCTCGATTATCCTTTGCATAACTTACTGTTTGAGGTACCCAAGCTGAGTTATGTAAAATAACAAATTTTATGTGTTTAGGCTTTTGGGCCTCAGTGGAGTTCCTTTAAGGTTTACTTAAATTAGTATATGTTTGATTTGGATGGGGCGTCCATGCTGTCTAAGTACGTAACCTGTTCACACTTTTTCGTTACTTGTCATATATTGAAGATATCTCGAGCCCTGTGCCTAAGTGTTCAACTGATGACACTAGAAAATGCTTTAAAACAGTACACCACTGGTGTCCAAATAGTCAAATTATTGGTCCCAAGTTTCGCAAAAATA